ATTTCCCAGGATGAGGATATGATAAGGTACCAATAATAATAATAATAAGACTAGAGTAGAATATCACTGGATTCCCTGCATTAAATTACACATACCTCTTAATCTACTCGGACAGTCCAATCTAAGCATATTCTAATCTAACTCTTCATAACTTAGCCAACCTAAAAGATCTCTCTAGTTCATTCCATCCCTGTCATTCCAGCCACCGTCTGCGAGCCTATTGGCTCTGACGTGACTCCATAGGTACCTTATCTACTTAGCTCCGAGCTGAGAGTACAACTCATCAGAGAGATCTCCATCTCCATTGAATCCCTACTGTGATCTTAGACTTCTTCACAATCCCAAGAAGCTGGCCCAAGATGACGCATATACCTCATCTTCCCGGCCATGCTAAGGCCAAAGATGGCCAGCGCAAGGTTACCCCCCCGCGTCCGACTTATATGTCCAGCGATCAGTTCGGTGAGTTTGCATTGCTCGCTGACTCATGACATTCTTGGAAATTGTCGCGGTTTTTGACAGATTGACACCTTTGGAGATGGCACCGTTGATAACCTTGAGCTAATAATGTGACTTAATTTTCAGCAAACTATCTCAAAGACTTGCGAACGAATCGACCAGTCCGCCCGAGCGGATCTAGACCCATTCCATCAAGAGCAACCGGATCAGGTTCAACCCCTCAAGAGACTCTCCCTCCTCGAGCGTCGTCGTCAATGTCAATGTATGGACACCCCAGCGCCCAGCCTACTTCGCCCGAGAGAGAGCGACCTCGAGCCAGCAGCTCTCTGTCTACCCATCGCCCATTCGAACCCCACCTCTCCTTGGGGAGCTCAGCTGGGCGCCCATTAGTACAGGAACCAAGAATGGTGCCGATACGCAAGAATGTTTCACCATCGCATGTTTTCTCGCGCCCATCGCCTCCATCTCCCAATGCTGTTTATCGTGAAAGTGGTCAGCGGCGGGTAGAGAAGGAAGAAGCACGCTCCTTGCGGGATGCCTTGCAGGAATTGGACTTGCACGATGAGATCCGCCTCCATCAGGCTGCACAAGACGAAGCCACGGAGCTAGTCTGGATGCATCTGAACCCCGGTGTGCCCTACAAAAACCCATATGCGCCGTACCATAACCCGGACCTGGACAGATCATCCGAGACGCCAAAGAACGCCGGCCGCTCTCACGGCCAAACTGATAAAATTGGTGGGCCCATGAATAATTATCGATCGACCTCAGAAAGCTCTTCTGACAGCAATTGTGCTGATGCTCGGGGGCCAGGTTTAGGTCTAAAGTATGACAGACAACACCAGCATGTGGTGCAGGACTCGGCAAGCAGCCCTACAAAGTCCTCGTCGCCGCGGAAGAATGTCAAAGTCGATTTTGCGTTGCCCGCCGAGGAATCGCCCTCGAAATCTAGAGGCGGCGGGAACTCATGTCTTTCGAGATTCGGTAGCGAGTCATCGAGAGGGATTTTTCGAAATCCTCGTGACTCGATTTACGAGGAACCGAAAGACACCCGTGGCCCCGAGGAGGATGAGCGACCGGAATTTTCCAGATCCGACTCATCAGCTCTCAGATCAAAGCCGCGCAATGCCCTACCGCGAGGCTCTCGACCCCTTCCGGGGAGACTAAGCAGTCTTCCGTTCGTTGACAAGTTGGCGCGGTTCGAGCTACATAAGCAACATCCAACGCAATCGAGAAATTCGGACTATACGACGAACGACCCGCTCCCGCAAACAGCCCCGGATGACGATGCGGACAAAGAGCAGGCTGTCCAGGCCGTTCCCACGAAGAATGGCCTTGAGATCCGCAGCGAAGAAATCAGGGCGGCTACAAGTAAGAAGCTCAAAGATCGAAGCACAAGGCTGCCTATGCCCACAGCCGTAAGTAATCGCGTTGGCCGGCCGATCGTGAGCTTCGACCCGACTTGGAAGCCCACTGAGGCCCCGTCACCGCAAAAGCGCGACAGCCTGAGGCAGGATTCGGCCTCCCCAACACCACCACCGCAGTCTGCTGCCCCTTCTATTGAAGTGTCCGAGCCGCCGGCGATACCGGTTATCAATGTTCCGGACGAGCAGGAGCCCACCATTTCGGAGATGGCAGCAGCATCATCTCAGAAGGAAAGAGGAAGTACTAGGCCTCTGCCAGATCCAGTGAGCACAAAGCACCGCCCGCAATCATCTCCTCAGAAATCTGCGCAGTTTTCACAGAAGCCCTGGTTGTCAACGTATACGCGCTCTGGAGTACCGACAGCGAAATGTGAGTCCTGCTCGCTTCCCATTGCAGGGAAGATCGTCACAGCGGCGGGGGCTCGCTTTCACCCAGAGTGCTTCGTGTGCCATCATTGCCATACTCCCTTAGAATGTGTGGCCTTTTATCAGGAGCCCGAGACCAAGCGCAATGAGCGATTGGCGGAGGCGCCAAGTGACGACGAGGAGGCGCGTATGTTGCGCTTCTATTGCCATCTGGATTTCCATGAGAAGTTCAGCCCCAGGTGCAAGAGCTGCAAGACCCCGATTGAAGGCGAGATTGTCGTGGCATGCGGGGCCGAGTGGCATGTTGGTCATTTTTTCTGTGCCGAATGCGGTGATGTACGTTCTGACCTTGTCCAACTCTGTAAGCAAACCCCCACTAATATTGTTATAGCCCTTCGACTCGAACACTCCTTTTGTGGAAAAGGACGGGTTCGCGTGGTGCCTTCAATGCCATTCTCGGCGCACCGCTCCTCGATGCCTGGGCTGCAAGAAGCCTGTCCTGGAGGATGTTGTGGTCAGCGCCGTCGGGGGCCAATGGCACAGTGAATGCTTCGTCTGTTACGAGTGCGGCGACGGTTTCGGTCCCGATGGCCGGTATTTCGTGCGAGAGGGCGAGCCCAAGCGAACGTCCAAAGGCCGAATCATTGGGGGTCCGGTCCAGTTGGCTGTATGTGAGCGATGCGAGAGCATCCGACTGAAGGCATCAACCAAGTGATGATACTCAATCTAGGCTGCGCACCACAGCCTCGCTTCTTCCATCCGCAGTGTCAGCAAGTGAAATGTTGTCACGCTGCCATCCAAGATTACGATCTAGACTCTGCATTTTTGTTTGATCTTCTCAGATTTTGCCGACTGTGTTCGAGATGACTGCATATGCAAGCAAGCGGGATTTACAGAGATATGGTACGATTATGCATGCAGCGGGTGCTGTAAGACTGTTTTTTGGTTTGAATCATACTATGGAGTTCGACAGGCAGCATCCTTTCCAGAATAGCATTTTTCAATCCATCAATGAAATTACCAACCGTACTCCATTCTGCATTCCGCGATCACTTGGTTTATGCTCAATGACAAAGAGTCATGCAGGCCATTCAGGATCCGCCTTACGCCGAAAGACAGCCACGTATTTATTCCCCTTATTCCGAGCCACCTTCTTCCCTTCCTCGGTGGCCTCCTTCATAACCCGCACACACTCATCCTTCTCCAGCTCCTCCTCTGAAACCCGCTCGAAGAGTTCCCTCACCCCAGCATTCGCACCCCCGCTGTTCTCCCCGTCCCCCTCCTCATCACCAGCTTCCACCCCAAAATGCCTCAGAATCCAATGATGATACTCCTCTACATCAGTGATCGTGTACAAAAACCCACCCGGCCGCAAAGCGTAGGCATACTCGGCATTCAGCGTCTCGGAGATAATCCGGGCCTTGTGCTTGCGGGCCTTGAAGTGCGGGTCCGGAAAGCAAATGAAGATCTTGGAAAGTTGATGGCGGGCGAAGAAATTAGGGAAGAATTTCATGGTGTTGCTGCGGATTGCGGAAATGTTCTCGTAGGAGCCCGGGACGAGAGTGGTAGGCATGTGCTCGGTGTCGGTGGAAGGGGACGGCGACGCTGCATCTGCAGTCGCGTTTGCGTTTGCGGGTTTCCCATCTATCTGAGCTTGCTGCTGAGACGGAGTTTCCGACCCTGCTGCTGTCGCAGTCGCAGCCCTGAGCTTATGCTGCTGGGCCCGGAGGGCTTGGATGCGCGTCGTCACGTATTCGAGAACCGAGACGCGGATCTCCATGCCTGTCAATGCTCCGTTAGCACTGCTCTTTCACCGCGTATGTATGTGTATGTGTCCGTATCCTACCAACTATCAACGACTCCGGCAGCAGAGGCGCAAGCCCAATGAGCAACCCGCCAAAGCCACACCCGATATCCACGACCTCGACATCCTTCAGGAGCTTCCGGGCCCCGGCGAGATTGGTATGCGATGGGTCCGGGTCAACAAAGGCAGGGTAATGTGATGACCAGTCCATATGCGCCGGGCTGAGGGGGCTGTAATCACACATTAGCGACGGATAGTGTTTGTGGATATGTGCGAGGGGTACGTACTATTTCAGGTGGTGATCCGAGAAGGGGTTTGCGTGCGCACGCTGGCGATAGTACTTCTTCTTGGGCAGCTTGATCTCTGCGACGTCGCTGGGGCCGGGTTGCGAGGCGGCCTCTGCTGTTGCTTTGCGGTATTCATCGCGCTTTTGGCGTTTGGGCGGGGGTGGTGTCATGGTTGGATTCTGTCTAGGGTTGATTTATGATTTCGAGCGGAGAATGTCCTTTACAAAGGGGGTTAGAAGTGTGATGGGCAATTGCAATCCCCGATAGAGAAATATTCGTGCAATGGCCGGAGTTGTGCTGGCGGAGGTTTGGACTTTTTTCTTAGCGGAAGCGTGACGTCCGTCAGGATATCGGAGGTGAGCTTGGCGGAAAGACTCCACCTCCGAATAGCAACCCCACAGATCGATCGCTCTCTTCGTTCTGTCAAATATCTTCGTCTTGTCAAATCATACTGTCCTTTTGACTTCCTGCACAGTAATGCACAGTCATTCGATACAATAACCTCACCATCGTCCCGCCAGCAATCCTCCATACCGTACCGCACCCACCCCCGCATCCGCAATATCAGTATCGGTCTCGTGTATGTCAACACCATACAACTACTCCATAACCACAACTACAACCATACTAACCATATCTCCAGTTCTCGGCCGGTAACGAAAGATGTCTCAGTCTCGGTCTCACCCCACAACAACCTTCCAATTCCCACCAACCTACTCCTTCCCCCCCTTCTTCACCCCCCAACCAAACAGCACAACCCGCCTCTCCCAGCTCCAGAAATGGTCCTCGCTGATCCAATCCTGGTGCCGCCATCATCGCATCTACCGCCTCTCACTAATTGAAGCGATTGAGAGCCCGCTCTTCCATAATGCTACGCTGCGGAAACGGTTGAATCTGAGCGAGGCCAGGGCCGTGCTGGACTGGATGGCCAAGCCTGAAGAGGAAGGGGGCGGCGGGAGACGGGCGGAATGGATCGATGGGGGGAGTAAGTCTGTGGCATGGATTTGGTGGAGGAGACCTGAGGAGTGGGCAGGGATTGTGGCGGATTGGGTGAGCTTTTCCCTTTTCTGCTTGTCGGCTAGCTTGCTGATGGTTGGTTCTAGGTGGAAGCGACAGGGCAGAAAAATGTTGTCCTGACAGTATACGAGCTGCTGGAGGGAGAGGCTACGATGTCGCAAGGTATGGTTATGCTTCTGTCCTTTAGGAAGTCGTCGCTGACATCTTCTAGAATGGCATGGGATGGATGCAGACGTGATGCTCAAGTCTCTGAACGTTCTTGTAAAACGCGGCAAGGCCCAGGTTTTCGGCAGCGAAGGCCAGGAAGGTGTCAAGTTTTTCTGAACCCGGACTCGTCTTGAAACGCTAAAGTCAAATTCTCAAGCTGCATGACTATATGCACAGAGCTGCTAGCGGCATCAAATCTGTCCGCAAAGAAGAAATCCCATAAAGATCCAGACATTGATCCATCATAACCATGTACAAGGTAAGTTCCCGAGAAACACCGGCTCGGCTATGCAGCGGACCTAACAACCAAACCAGGCGCACACCCTGTCTAGTGGTCGCCCTGGTCAACCATATCTTCCTTCAGTTCGTATCCCTCAGCCGTACGCAGCTCCTGGGACATGGCAATGTCCAGAAGCCAGTCGACGCGCACGATTCGTGGTGTCTTGCTCATACTCTGTGCCAACTGTGAAAATCGTGGCCAGAGCTTCTGATGTTCGGGCGATACACTGCTAAGAAGGTAGACCTCTTTGCGGCTCAGGTCATCCTCCCCTGAGCTATCGTCTTCGCTCTCTTCCCGCTGCGAATGGTAGGAGACCCTTCCGCGGAAAAGGGTGCAGGTCCCTCCATTGACGTCCACAATCGACTTGAACGCTTCAAATCCTCCACGGATGGACTCAACACAGTAGATTTGATAGCCCTGCAGGAGCTTGTTCTTGTTCTTCTTCGCCTTGGCCCTCGCTTTTTCTAGAGAGAAGCCGAACCTCTTTTCGGCGGTTTTGTCCACCAAGGGGAAGTCGTCAGGGTTCAGAAGCTCATTCTTCTTGAGGCACTCTGTGATGAAATCGATATTCACTATCGCAGGACCGTATGCCAGCGCATTGACGAATTTGGGAGTTCTCAGTATAGACGGCGCGGCGAGATGTGTGCATCTTCGTGCATCTTGCACAACCATGATTCCAAGGTCGCGAAGTTGGCGCTGATAATTGTGAGCCCTTTGCCAAATATGGGCTGGTGCATATAGTTTAATATGAGTTGGCAACATACCTTGTCTGCATCCTCTTTCTTCAAATTGCCCACCCACTTCTGATACCCAGTAATAAGGAGGTGCATGGCAATAGGAGGTTTCGACTTCTTCTGTCTCTTCGCCTCCGTCGCATTGTCTTCGTCGCTTTCTTCCTGCGGTTCTACTGATCTGCGTTTCTTGGCGTTGTTTAGTACCACTCTGTCCTCGTCGCTCTTTCTTCGCCCGCCATAGATCACACCTCCGACTCGTTTCTTCTCCTTCTCGTACAAGGCGATATCTGGTGCGAGTTCCTGCAGTCGATTGAAAGCCGTTTCCTTTGACTTGCGACTGCTTGTTGAAGATGGTGTGTCGTTCTCTTTGCCCTCCGACTCCAACCGAGCACGTGCGGGCGTCTGGGGCTTCTTGTTGTCTGAAATTTTACGTGACTTGTCAGCTGCTCGCGGTGTCGTAGTCGCAGCATCGACGGCCTTGGGCGTAGGTGGCTGCATAGCACTTGATGTCTTTCCGGCATCAGCATTCTGGTCTTTGGTCTGCATTGCTCGCCGAGGGCTGTCTGATGATTGAGTTGTGTTCTCCAAAGAAGAAAAGAAGTGGCTCTCTAGCACAGATCTGTCCAGGCGTGTCTGGCCAACAACCTCGCCTAGATTTGTCCGCTTAGGAAAGTGAGTATAGCGAGGATCAGATACCGGTTGCATCTTCCATTTAGCATAGCTTTCCTCCAACCAGAGGTGATTCACAACGTGCAATCCCCATTCTTTCGCAGCAGCGCATTTCTCGCTGTTGCCATGGGCGGTTACTAGGTGCGTGTTTTCCTGCTTCAGGGTCTTGGTACACTCTGCGCCTGCCGCTGCGATCAAATTCTCCAGGTAGATTCTCGCTTCGCCCACATAATTTGACAGACTGATTTTGAGGCCTTCGAATCCGGGTATTCCTACACGCGAGATGGGGTAGTGTAACATCCGTCGTAGCGGCGAGGTCCATGCATTGTAGGTGATCATATGGTAGAGCCATGATAGGTTTCCGACGTCCTTATTCAACCTTGACGCCAAGCGATAACCAAATCCAGATCTGTAACGGCAGATGTAGATATCTGCTTCGGAGACGTCCGATGTCACACGGCCGCCAGCGTCCCTAATCACCTCGACAATCGTGTTAGTTAGATGTATGCCGATCCCAAGATCTGCGGAAAGCATGATCTTTTTCCCTTGGAATACATCGAGGTTTGGCCGTGGATGAGCAGTGACGATAGACGCTGGTAGGTTGGTCGGCTCAAGCGTCGAGGCGCCAATGATATCACGATTTTCCGATGATCGAATCGGTGCGTCTGTACCTGCGCGGAGGATTTCAGGATCTGGAAGAGTATATGGGCGCTCGTCGATTCTCCTTCCTAGTTTGAGGCAGTCATCGAACCTTTAAATGCGGTCAATCAGAGTCAAACCAAAGGTTGTAGGGTAACCACAGTCATACCAGTGAGGAAGCACAATCTTGATGTTCAGCTTTCTAGAAGTGACCATTCGCGCCTTATCGGAATCCACCGTCAGATCGACCAAGTGAGTGACCATATTCGACACCCTGGGACTGTAGAGACCGCCTTTGGCCAAAACGCCGCCAATAATCGCATCCTTATCGCCTTCTGGAATATCACCGCACATAACGACAACATCGTTCAGGAATAGCCTAGGATCGGGGTTGTACTGTCGGGGATTGGCCAACTTTTTCTTCGTTAGAGACGCCTGCACCCATTGCGGTTTGACTACAGGAATGAGAGCGTCATTAGCAGCATCAAATGCAGGAAAATCCACAGTATTCGATATCAGATGCGTGAATCCTTCTGTAAGGGGTGGGAAGTCTGCTGGCGGCTCGTAGATCACGGTCTCCCCGCCATGCGCCTCGAACGTTGACGCGAGCTAGTTTGCGAAGTCAGTCGAATCAAAATTGTACAGTCAACGATACCAAGAAGAAACAGGCGTACCTGATGAGCCGTATCAGGGCTGAGGTCTTTGGAGCAAATTATACAGACTTTGCACTGGTCGAAGAGCTGGAACTCTTCATCACGGCCCGCCATGGCGGAATGGAGACCGCAGTCTGTAGAAAACGTTGGCTTTCTCCGTGACTCTTGCTCTTTTATTGATTCTCCTGACAGATAACCAGCACCAGTTTCGCGACAATGAAAGCAGGTAAAGCGTAAATGATTGCAACACCTAGACGTTGTCCTTGCGATTGAGAATCTGTAAATGATGCCTGAGGGATGCGACGCGCCGACGCGAGGCATCACGACGCCATGTCACGTGACTCGTGCATGAATGTGATACGTCCTTTATTTTTTAGAAAGCAATACGAGTATTGATGAAATCAAGCGTGGTTTAGGTGTTGTATTCTTATTATTGGTTGCATTGCAATGCTACAACTTCATTGATGCATTGTTCGAACTTCGAGTCTAGTATTGGAGTGTGCATCCTGCGACGTACTTCAACACGAGAGCTAAATTCATGGAGACAGCGGGTTTTAACTACATATTTATCAGCTATTTAGATGGGTTGAGATCTTCCAACTGTTTTGTGAATGTGAAATAGCCGCAAGATATAGAACAATTGCTTCACTACCGACGAACTGGCCCGGTGATTGATCACCAATTAGATAAACCCACTCCCCGGCAGTTGGGCTGATCCGCCTTGTGCCTTTCTGTCCCCATCGGTCTTCAGCTTCCTCGGCTCATCCCCCGAACCCCGGCAACTAGTACTGCATGTCCCCAAGAATGATCATGATATAGTGGGGTCCCCGGTTTATCGATATGGCAGGATTATTATTATTGATATCCAGCAGTCCTCCTCCTCTTTGCAATTTTCTCCTTTTCATATTCCATTCATTGTGGGATGATTGATTCAAAATGTCTTCGTCTTCGTCATCATCAATATCAGGGCCCTTCCGCATCGTGGAACATGTGGTAGAATGTCAACATATCAGGGAATATCCAGCAGCCACTGCGAACGAACAAGAAGATGTACTGCATCTGGCTGTAAAACAATACATTCCATTCGATAACCCCGAACCCCAGCCTGGCGATGTGACCATACTCGCCGCTCATGCTAATGGCTTCCCAAAGGTATATCTGGATACTCTATGGATCCCGCGAGCGCATACTGAATGCATGACCAGGAGCTGTATGAACCACTCTGGGAGGAGATATATGCGCGCTCCAAAGCCAATGGGTTCCGTATCCGAAGTATCTGGATGGCAGATGTGGCGCATCAAGGACAAAGCAGCGTGCTCAATGAGGATCTTCTAGGAAATGATCGTGCGTTGATTGTTATCGGGCCAACCTCTCGAACCTGGCAGACTGACTTAGTCCACGTCCACAGCTAGCTGGTTCGATCACCCCAGAGATCTACTTCATCTAGTCAATGTCAAGCGCAAGGAAATGCCCCGTCCAATCGTCGGAATCGGCCACAGCATGGGCGGCGCTCACCTGTAAGTCTAAGGTTAGGAAGCCCATGCAAACAATTCTAACGCTATCGCAGTGCGCAGTTATGCCTAATGCACCCCCGGCTCATTCACACTCTGGTCCTACTAGACCCAGTTATCCAACGCCAAACCACCCAGCTCGAGCCGCGACCCCTGTTCAAAGACCAGCTCGTCATCGCCAAAACCACCCAACTCTCCACCTACCGCCGAGACAAGTGGCCATCCCGCAAAGCCGCCGCAGAAGCCTTCAGGAAGAACCCCTTCTACCAAACCTGGGACCCCCGCGTCCTCGACCGTTGGATCAAATACGGTCTCCGAGACCTTCCTACCGCCATTCACTCGCTAGATGAGCCCGCAATCTCCCAAGACAGTGACCGACCAGTCACACTCACAACGACTCTCCACCAGGAGGTCTTCACTTTTTCACGGCCCAACTACGACGGGCCCCCGGGCAAAAACGTGCCGATTAACCGGTTAACGCATCCCGATCTGAACCCCAAGCACCTTGGCTCATTCCCTTTCTATCGGCCGGAGCCGTCCCGCATCTTCGCTCAGCTTGAGCACCTCCGTCCCAGCGTGTTGTACATCTTCGCCGGCAAGTCGGACATGTGTCTCCCCGAGATGATGGCCGACAAGATGAAGAATACAGGCACGGGGCTTGGCGGCAGTGGCGGCGCGGCCGAGGGACGTGTGCGCGACGTATATCTCGAAAAATATGGCCACTTGCTCGCCCAGGAAGCACCCAGTGAGTGTGGAGAGGCGGCAAGCCGATGGCTCGGCAAAGAATTGGAGCGATGGAGGGCGGAGGAGCAAGACTTCCGAGAGCAGTGGAGCAAGAAGTCGAAGATCGAGAAAGCGACTATCGATTCACGGTGGAAAGAGCATGTACCTGCGCCCGTGAGACCCAAGAAGGATTCCGAGGCCAAATTATAAAAGGCTCTTATGTTCCTACATTACCACGCAACGACAAGAGCGCCGTTACGATAGACAAATACACATAGGATCATCTACGCCACATCCATGCTACATAGACAAAACTCGCTTCGAAACCTGTCAAGCAACTTCCTGTTTTCTTCATAAACTTCATTTCTCGTCTATAAGATAACCTTGAGTAATTTCAGGGCAGACCTCTATAAGCTAGTTCATTCTAAGGATCTACATAGACCGTTAAAGCAACTTGAATAAGTCTGGAGCGCCTGGCTCGAGTCAAAAGCACATATTGGCTGGTCAAATCAGATTGACTTCTTGGCCGGTCGACTTCCGGAATCAGTACTGGCGGGGACAATCTCCGGGAAGTTCCAGAAATGAGGCCACCACAGCTCGTATTCCTCTTGCCGTCCGTTCAGGCAATGGCGCAGCCAGATACCCCAAATGATATATAGGTAAGCTCCAATACCAGTCATGACATGCCTGCAAGGGACATTAGCAAAAAGCCGAGAACTGGGTTAAACTAGACATACCACCAACCATGGCCCTCGAGTAAAAGCCCCCAAGGAAGCCCGACTGCCCGACGCCATCTGCGGAGCGTAGGGCAAAATTGGTTATCCAAATTCCAAATGAGGAATCCTCCCAGGAACATCGCTAGTCCATAGGCAACCATGAACCACATTGTTTTGAGAGTCCTCACGTCCCTGACATTCTCGTAATGCTGTTGTTCCTTGGAAGGCACGGGCAGATCTTTCTTTTGACGAGCCCGCCGATCCTCCTCAGTAGAGTGTCGCAAAGATGGGCGAAGAGTCACTTCCATGGTGTACATGCTTCTCAACACGACGACGATCGTCAAAAGCGCATACGCATTTTGATGGAATACAGGGTCCTGGAGGTAATGGTAGTAAAGAGTGATAAAGACGGCCAAACTCGTCAATGCGATGGCGAGAACAATACGGAAGCCGAGGGGTCTCGAGTAAGAAAATGAGGCATAGCACATCAAGCAGGTCGTGTAGATCATCGAGAGCTCATCAACTAATTGCATCGGATCTAGTAGGCAGTCAGTAATCCCGCATGTATCCTTTTTAGTGACTGGACTTGCATTTGAGAGTCGAGTGGAATAGGAAACTTCCAGCCCCAACTACGAGATATCCGTAGAAAGCTACCTGGAAGATCGTATCATGTCCATATCGCCGACAGCTCCGGATGCCCTTGAATCCAAGCCACATGAACAAGAGATTTGTCATACTATTGACGATTTCGGCGGAGTAGACAGTCGCATAGTAATCCTATAATTCATAACATGTGAGCGCAAGACATGATCCCAGCCGAAGCTATACGCACCTCTTCACACCAGTTCAACGTTGATGTGACGGGGCTCCAATATCCGGCCTTGGAAGGCGGATACGGAATGGACGTTGGGAAAGACCACTGAGGCATGGTGGATCTCCGCGGCGGGTATAGGACAGCCTCTTTAAACAGCGCCGAGTAAAAGGATCAGGATATGGATGGCATCGCAGCGAAGACGGGAAAGAAAAGATGGAAGAAGAAGACAAAGAGGCACATTAGTCATGTACCTTGTCTAGGTAGATACTATTCCCTGGTCAGGACGCACTTCCTAGGTATGCAAGGAACCTACCGGTTACCTACGCTTCCCACGCAAGCCCCGTGACGTCGATAATTACACAAATCAGCGGGACCCATCAATGTCAACTCAAATTTGCAGCGTACCTATTGGCCAGATCGACCCTCCGCGGGCTGCCGACGCCCCGGCGGAAGGCGTATCGTCATGAAATTACCAGTGATCGATCGCTTTCATCCACTGTGAGAGGTACCTACATTACTGGGGCTAGTATCGGAATTTCATAAGGTATTTTTACCTACCGAACTATGGATGCTGTTTTCAGATTACCAATGCATTCTCCATCTGCATGGAATGCTTGCAGAAAGTTATCTCGAATGGAATCAGCTAATTGACTAGGATACATTAATCCCAATATATTGTTTCGTCTATGGACGTATCCTTCTCAGAAGACATGAGTGGACATAATCTACGCTCCAGAGGGTGTATCTACCTGGGTACCTTAAGTAGCGGTGTATCATTGTATGATACGCTGTATGGTTACATAACGGCGGTAATATATATCCAGATGTGGCTGGTGCTAGGCCAGCCGCAGCCAATCACAAGCAATCGGCCGGAAACTTGATGACTTCACCGATAGTCGTGCATCTCAGAAAATGTTGGAGACCCTCTGCGCCGAGAAAGGCAAGTCAAATCTCACTGCATGACTAGGAAGTGACTCGGCTTTTGCCCTGACAGACCTTTCATCACACGTCATTAGCACTGGATCTCTCCTTTGAAATGCGGTCGTCGTATATTCCGTTGTAAATCGACCGCGGAGCGGTCTCCGGCTTCTGAATCATATACGGTGCTGGAGCGCTGTTGTTAATACGAACGAGCTGAAGCAATTGTGCCTATATCGTCAGCATTGACAGAAGATAGCAGCTCCCGGGGCGAACCTGTGGAACTTCTGCAAGGGAAATGTCGAACAATGCTGCATACGCAGTGACGCCGGCGAAAACCACATCCACATGTACGAACGTTGTGACTATCTATCTTTGACCAAGACTACCAAACTCAAGGTCTCAGCGCCGACACAGATCTGCTAATGCTCT